TACCTCTGCACCCTGCTGGGCAACCTGATCATCTTAGCAGCCGTCCTGGCGGACCCCCGCCTGCACACCCCCATGTACTTCTTCCTCTGCAACCTCGCCGTGTTGGACATTGGCCTCTCTTCTGTCAACATCCCCAAATATCTGGCCAACCTGTGGGCCAACAGTAATACCATCTCGCTGGGTGGGTGCATGGCCCAGGTCTTCTTCTATCACTTTCTGGCCAGCACGGAGACCCTGCTCTACACGGTCATGGCCTTTGACCGGTACGTGGCCATCTGCCATCCGCTGCGCTATGTCCTCATCATGAACCACAGGGTGGTCACCCTCCTGGCCGCCGGCACCTGGATCTGCAGCTCCTTCCACGCCACCATCCTCGCCAGCCTGACCTTCACGCTGCCCTACTGCGGGTCCAACGTGGTGGACTATTTCTTCTGCGACCTCTTCCCCGTGGTTAAGTTGGCCTGTGCGGACACGTACGTCCTTGAGGTCGTGACCTTCACCAACATTGGTTTGGTGCCCATGACCTGCTTCGTCCTCATCCTCTCCTCCTACGTCAGGATCGTCTACTCCATCATAAAGATGAACGCAGGCGAAGGGCAGCGCAAAGCGGCCTCCACTTGTGCCTCCCACCTGGTGGTGGTGATCATGTTCTTCGGGCCCTGTGCCCTGGTCTACACCCAGCCCCAGCTGAGCAAAGTGTGGGTGACCACGCTGGATGTGTTTGGCAACCTGGTGACACCCATGCTGAACCCGGCCATCTACACGCTGCGCAACAAGGAGGTGAATGAGGGTCTCAGAAAATTGCTGGGGGGTAAAACACCCGCACGGTGATGGGTGGCCGCTGCAGGAGCAGCTCGCGGGTCTGCGTGGAAGTGCACCTTCATCGCTACTCCATAGCTTTTGTGAGCCCCTCTTCATCTTTCCCTCTCTCTCTTTCCCATCCCATTTGCCTATCTGGATCTCTACAAATCATAGACACACTCCCAATAATCCCATACTCTTGAGGAGTGTCTACACTGCACCGAAACCCATAACA